ATCCTGCCTAAACAAAAGCGCTTTTCCTCAGATGTAGGAGTGGATAGGAAAGATTCTGGAAAACCTCCAAGAGAGAAAGAAAGTCCAAATTCCAGGAGTCCCATGCTTGTTATTTAAAAGTAGTCAGGGTTTCATTAATGCTAACTTATGCATTTTTGGTCATTCCACTGAAATTACAATTTAAACAAACTAAACAATAAGAATTTATAAGATGCAGTGTTTTTAATGGAGTGAGAAAGCTGGCTTTGTATTCTGTAGTCTCTCATGTAATCTGAAATCCACATTATGATGACTTTAGTATGTTGGGCTGTGAGGTTTGCTTTGTCATCCTTTTTTAAAATTAATTTACAACTTTGTTACGCTTTGACCGATATTTCTAGTCTTTGTAACTGTAGTCAAATCTGTTTTGTGAAATCTCCACGATGTCCCCGTTGAGTGAATTAAAAGTACATCCAGACACAGAATTTCCTCTCCCAGTCAAAGTTCTGTCTCACTGAATAGTTGTGCACTAGGTCAATAAGGAACATTTTCAAATATGCTTAAATTACTGAGGTGCCAAGCACTATAGACAGACAGTGGGATTTATGCTGCTTTAGTTGATTTAATTGTCTCACATGCTCAGTCTATTCATGATATTCAGGCTTGTGTAGAGGATGTGGGGTGGACAGGACCTTTTGCTGGCCAGCTGACTCACTTGTCTGAAATGTATGCAGGGTGGTTTGTGGCTCGTCCTTCCTAGTTGCTTGGAGCACAAGTCTCCACGGAGTGTTCCTGCTTCAGTTTTGCACAGTTTTGTTTCTTAGCTTGAGATCTCCCATGTCCCAGTTAGATTTTTTTTTCCTCAATGATATTGATTTGTTAAGCTGTTTAAGACTAAGTTTTTAAAAAGAAAGAGCAAACTTCTGTGAATTTAATATTTCTAGTTATTCATCCATTAATTCATCTCCTCTTAGAGTTTGGAGCTTAAATTCAGACCTTCCTGCCTTCAGAGGTTTGAAGTTATCTGTTATTCTGTTATCTTATTCTGAAATAATGAAGTTCTCTGATTTAAACAGTGGGAAAGTTTTAGTAAACTGCTGCTGAAAGGAAGTGGAAGAAGTGTTCTGGGCCCTCAGAGGAACCCAGGATTCTCAGCTCTGTCTCAGAGGGTAAAAAAATCTGAAGAACTAAGGGAAGTGAAATACTACTTATTTTTATAGTAGGTGTATATATAGTTCCATTCAGTGGCCTTTGAATTTGTGAAAAACTTCCCTTTTACTTTAGTTAGCATTACACTAGGCTTCTAATAAAAAACTAGGATTAATTTTAGAAAAATCAGTATTTCATTTCTTAGAGGAAGCATGTAAATTACTCTTAATTCTTTAAAGGAGTATAAAGTAAGAAAATATCATATGGAATCACTTATGGTGGTCTTGTAATTTTAGTAACGATTCTGGTAATGAGAAGAATGTTGGCACAATAAAATCTTAAACCAAATACTTGAAACAGAAATACACTTTTCTTTCTATGATTTTTGTAGTCATTCAGTCCTCTGCATGCTATAAAACTCAATAATTACAATTTTAGGTCTTGAATATTCTCCTTGATTGAGCAATTAGGTCCTTTGTTGTAGTTTTTAAGGCTTGTAGTTGGGTCCAGGACATGAAGTCGGCTTAGCTCTGTTCTTTGTTGTGTTAAGGACTCCCAGTGTGACCACAGACATGTAATTTTAACACTAACATTGAACAGATTATATTTATTAAAGACTTGTCATTGACTCTTATTGTAATGAGAGTTCTTTTTGCTCTTGAGTTTTCTCCTCTGCAAAGTGGGGTGATGGTATCTGCCTCAGAAGTTACATGTGGGCAAATGATTGAATTGGGGGGATCAGTAATGACAGGAGGCCTAGAAATCTTTGATAGAACTTACAAGTACTTCCAGGGTAGGGTTTGTTCTTTCTATTGCAAAAGTAAAGCTGAGAGATGAACCAGGTGGCAGCTGCTGATAACATCCTGACACAGTAGTGGTTACATTTATTTTTAAGTATTGGAAGTCTTTTGCATTGCCATGAAATAGTGCATGTCATGTACTTCTTGTGAGGCAGTCTGCAAAGAATATTTTTTTCCAATTTTGAAAGGTATGAGCCTGTGCATTATTTTGAAGAAAACATTTTCCCTTCTGCTATTGGTTAACCATCCGTGCACATTATTTATTCTCATGATTATTCAAATTTAGAATCCACTGACATTGCTTGAGGGTTTTAATTGCTGATTTCAGTTGTTTAATCTTTGGAACAGCCACTACAGGCAGACCTGTACTCTCTATTTAATCTGAGTACCTTTCCTCATTGATAAAAAAGTTGAGTCCTGTGTTCTGAGAAGGAGGAAGGAATGCACGTGCACCAAGCCCAAGATGAAAACACCAAAAAGGCCAAGCAGGACTTTGATTTTTGCAGGGGTAAATTCACAGGACCAGTTTGTGGTAAGAAAGTAATAGTCTCTTATGTACGTTGTAGATACATGAACCTTGATGGATGCTCTGTGTCCTGACTGATGAGGGTCAGCCACTCGACTCTGTCCTTCCCCATCCAAATCACACTTTTGGACATCAGGGCAAACACACTGCTGTTCAGAGAGTCTGTGCAGTGCTGTGAGTTATGAGGGCCCATCTCAGATTAGTGGCAGGGTTTTATCAACTGATACAGTGTTGCACATAGGAATTCGCTGTGTCTTACAGCCCTTTATTGTCAGGATATTTAAAACGTGCAGCAAGAGTGAGATATCACACAAATTACTTCATTGTTCTTTAACAGAAGCTCTTTCTGTGTCCATATCCAGCCTTGTCTGTTAACTGAATCCTCTTGCTCCTTTCAGAAATGCTCCTATCAGAGCATTTTAAATTTCAAAACAGTATTTTGCAGTTTATAGTTTGTTACAGCATGTAAAAGTTAACAATACAGATACATTCTTTGTCATTAATAAAATGAGCTGTGTCAAACATATTGCCTTAAGGTAAATCTTACTTTCTACAAATCGAAAGTTTCCTACTGAGATTTACTTTTCATAAGAAAACTGAAACTATTAATTTCTGCAGGTAACTATAGCTCAGAATCAGTTTACTGATATTGGTTTAATGTGAAAGTATAGATAGCTAGTTTCAACTTTGTGCCCTTCTTTCATTTGTTTATACAATGGAAATTATCATCTGTCTTTGAAGAATCTCTTAGACTGTAAACTGTTTAAGGCTGGGATTGATGGCTTTGTGTGCTATCTTCAGCCTGCAAAGCAGTGAGCTCTGGGTGGGGAAAAGCTAAAAAACTTAATCAAGGTAAACATTATGACTTTTGTAATAATTTTGTTTGTTTTTTTGTTTTCTCAGTCTTTCTGAGATCTTTTGGGGATGAAAAATGTAACTATTCCAAGGCTTTTCTCTTTAACAGTGTTACAGATTCATGCTCTTGCCGTGGCTGGGTTTGAAATGTGTGCCCATGAAGCTGAAGTGCCAAGTGAGCTGCTGATTGTAACTGTCCTGCTCTGTTGTTTGGGACTTCCACTTGTGCTGTGAAGCCTCTGTAGGCCAGTCCTTAGCCCCAGCTGTTTGTGCTTTAACCCATCCCAGAATGCTGTTATATATTGTTTTGTAGGCTGACTGAAATCTGCCAGATGAGGCAAAAATGAACACATGAGCTGCTGGATAGTAGAGAATTCATTCTTTTCCCCTCAGGTTGCACCCAGGAACAGGTGCCTTTGTTTTCCTGGGATCCACCAACACAAGCAAGTGTGGACATGGCCAAATGCATGGACAGGACAAGATGCAGGTGATCCTGTTACTTTAGATAGGAATAATTGTGGTGTCACTCGTGCCACTCCAGGACACGCACTTTACCACAGCATGTCACAGCAATTGGCAGTGGCCAGAAACCTTTGTTCTTTACACAGCAGGAGACAGAAATGCGAGTTCATGCTGAATTGCAGGAATATATTGATTCATTTATTTCATGCATGTAATGAAAATGAATAGATTATAAATTAGTGACAGGGTTTTTTTCAATAAATAAATAAATAAAATGTATGTGCCTCTGTTCAAAGTACTTTATCTTGTGCTAGGTACTTTAGTTTAATTAAAGAGTTTCCGATAATAATTCTTTCTTAGTCTTAAGGAGCTGTTTATTTGCTGTCATATTCAACATTTATTTGTAGCTCATTCTTCTGATTAATTTAAAAGTAACAAAGGTAGGAAAATCCTAATTCCTAAGCAGGCAGATACTATAGTACTCAGTAACCACCCAAATACTGATATTTTTTCTTTGCTTGCTTTTTTGCCCTTGTACCTTAGCATTTCTATGTATATTCTGAGATAAACTTTTCCATGGGCTACAAACTATGAATTCTTGTATGCCATTACTGCTTTCATTTTAGTAGGAGTTTAACAAACAAACCACTGATTTAATTTATGTGTTAATAACAAAGACTCAGTCAAACAAAAACAAATACTTTTAGTTTCAGGACTTCATTTGGATGTGATATTTTGTGTATGTTAATCTCAGAGTTCCCTTTTTTCACATTTGTGTTTGAGAGAACTTAGTTATCACAAAGATGATTTTACAGTTAATTACGCAAAAAGAGTTCTCTGATTTCCTTTGCTATTATTCATTTGCATTGCTAACATTCAGTTCTTCTGGGAATACAACTCTGTACCCCAGGGAGCACACTTCTTACTGAAATAATTTAGGAATTGTGTTTTGTTAATTTCCATCACATCAGAATTGTCTTTGCTAATTTCCTGGGCAAACAGACTGTGTATCTTTATGCAGAAGGAAAGAGAGAGAAGTGAGAACTGTGAAGGGCTGCTGCCTCAGAGCTGCTGTTGCCATAGAGCTGCTAACGAGGAAAAAACTGCAGCATGGATTTCTTGTGCTGTTGAAGGTAAGATGAGGGCACAGACTGTAGGAGGGGGAGGGGAGGCGAGGCAGAGGGGGGGGGAGAAGAGGAAGAAAGTCTGCGTCCTTGCTGTCTAAAAAAGGAAATTCAGTGTCAGTGTTCATGAGCAGAACTGCTGGTGCAGAAGAACAAAGCTCTCTCAGTTGTTTAGGGTAGCAGGAGTGATGAGCAAGCAAGCACACTCCCGTGCTTTCAGGAGGAAATACTGCAATGAAAGGAGGGAGAAGAAGAGTGACTTTTTCGTTTAGAAAATACTCACTGCTGCTTCAAGGTAGTTGCTTTTTGATACTACTTTGGCATTAACGTTGTTACCCTGGGTAAAGACATCTGTGAAAAAACTCAGTAGAGAGATAAGAAGAAAAAGTGGTGGTAAAAAATGCAGCATAACATTGAGCTGATCGAATTCTGTTTATATATATTAAAATGTGTCAGTTGTTGCATTCAGCTGTGCAGTGCTGAGAAACCTTTCAAAATGCAAGTGAAACTGGTTTTTTGCTGCTAAGATTGTTGGGGTATATTGATGTGTTATCCACCTTTTATCAGTGATATTTCATCTTCTGTTTTCTAAGTTCATGTCTTTTGAGTGGAAATGTATAATAAATAAATGAAAAATAAATATTAGGTACTCAAGAATCCTGGCTACAGAACTGACATCAGACATGCTTTATGTGGGATCTCTAATGAGGTGAGCTTTGTAGTCTAAGACTCTTCAAGATCATTGCAGAATTATATGTGAAACACTCAGGTAAAAGCTGCTGTTGCTGTTTCTACATCTGTTTAGTGTGTTATGTATTTTTGCTGTCCTTCACCTGCTCCTTCTCTCAGTCTTTTGGCTCTTTTTGAGGCAACTGAACCCACGTGCCTTGCACTGCGAACCTGGCACACCTGCCATGTTTGAACTGTGGGGCCTTGAAGAGAATTCAACAAACTGTGGAGGCAGCAATAACTGTCTTAGCTCTGCTGATACTCCTGTGTTGATATTACTTAACCATCTGTTTGCTGTGTTATCGAGTGTGCTTGGATAGAACAGCCCTTTCTCACAATTTCTTATTTTGCACTTTATCACCATTTATCAAATGGTGTTTGACTATTCTCCTGCAGTCTGTTTGCAGTTTGGGTCAGAGTGAAATTTTTTCCTGTAGCAGCCTGGTAGTTCAGCAATTCAGGCTGTAAATTCTTTTTTTTTTTTTTTTTTTTTTTTAGTATTACCATCTCTCACTGTGAAATTGTTATTCTTTGAGATCATAGAGCTTAGCTCATGCGTGCCATTTCCCAGCCATGAGTGGCACTGGGCAAGGTACAAGGTACATCAATCATGAAAACATCAGTTACCCTTTCCAAGGTATATCGTGGGGAATTGGGTGTCTAAGTCTATTTTTATTAGCCAGACTCATTTTGTGATTCAGACTAATTTTGTCAGACTCATGAGCTGCAGGCAGTTCTGCAGTCTTCAGAATCATTCTTTTTATTTAGTATGGTCCCCAGTGCACTTGGGGTTGATGACATCCTGTTAAGGTTTGCATGGGTCCTTTGAGCTTAATCCGTGGCCGAGGCATCCCCTGGCAATACAGGTGATTGTGATTTAGTTCAGTGTCAGCACGGGGTTTAATCACCTGCTCTAAACAGTTGTTAGTGCCTTGCTGAGTTTGTGTTAGGACTGAGTTCCACAGAGTATTGGGTGCTACGTTCCAGAAGAGATTACTGAACTTCTGGGTCAAACTAGTTTGGGTCCTTCAGAGTTGTAACGTGACTATTCAAAGAAATATGAGTGTATAATAAACACCTCTCTGTACAGTAACTGCAGACTAAAATTCAGTTGCCTTAGAATAACTATTTAGTGGAAGGTTAGTGTTGCAGTCTAAGATTGATTTAATAGTTCTTCATTGGCAAAAACAGGTAGCAGAAGCACAATGTTGCTAAATGACAGGTTATTCTCATAAATTTGCAAATGGTATGAATATTTATTGTTTCCACTTGATGGTGGCTAATATGTATTTACAGTGAAAAAGAGCAGAGCTGCAGCAGTGCTGATACAGGAATGTTTTGAGTGGAGTGTACTCACATTATAACCTTCGTATTGACACTGTTCCTGTGCCAAACTGGCGGCTACAACAACAGATCTGTCACCTTGAGTCAAAGTTCCAGAGGTGTCTTGGTTGTCTTACAATAGAAAATTAACTTAATTGGAAATTAAACAAGGCAGAGAAGTTGTTTGTGAGTCTACTAATCTGCCCATACTGGATTGAACTCTGAAGGAAGAAGTGATCTTGTAGTTTGTGCTTGGTGTGCTTGCTTCTTCCACCTGGTTTATATTGTGGGAGTGATCAAGAGAATAAGGAAGTATGGCAAAACATTAGCCAGAACATTCTGATCTCTGTATTTGGGCCACGAAAAGAAAGCTGTTAAGCCACTAGTGCTGCTGTTGTTAATACCAGGACCTGCACCAATTCCCAAAGCACTGTAAAATATAAGAGCTACTTCGAAGGTTAAACCTGCCCATAATTACCTCTTTGAGGCATTGCACTGCTCGATGTCCATCTCAGCCACTTCCAAGTAGTATCAGTTTTCTACACCATAGACTTTGGCTGAGTGCTCTAAGACCTGATTTTTGAAATGCTGAGAACCCATAATGCTATTTAAGGTTAATGGGAGCACAGACTTCTCAGCACAATTTAAAATCAGGCCTCTGCACTCAAACAGGAGATTTTAGTTTAGCAGTCACAAGACTGCTTAAATGATCAGTCTGAATTCTAGATTCCTTCTGGAACTGATTTTTTTTTTCTTTTGCAAAGCCTGAGCTATGTCCCATTATACCCCTTTATTTTTATTAATTTGTGAGCATTTCTACTTTTTTTGTTAATATACAGCTGCTAGAACAGCTGGCACATATAAATGAAGAGAATTCAACTATAGTAGATTTACTTTTTTGTGATGTTTTATGGCATTATTCTTATATTCTTTTGGATTGAATGTCAAGGAATTAACTTCTGCTGACATGCTTAAGGGTTAGAATAAGAAATAAAACTATGTTCCTTCACATGTGTCTGGTAGATTTTCAAGGTACTAAACTATGCTGTTTTGGGAATGTAGGTCAAAGTCTTTCTTTAAACATGTTATAGGTCCTGTTGATGTTCTATTGATGAGCATTATGTTCCCCAAGTTTAAATCAATAATCCTCAATTCTTGTCTACCCCAACTGTTTGAGGTTTTTTCTAGTAATCTGAGTTTCAGTTAAAAATATGTTCTTCCTGAATGACAGGTACTTCCTTGTTCATTCTCTACCCTAGTCAGATTTTTTCCCTTGTTTTTCATTCATATTATTCTTTTGTTTCAAGCCAACTGGTCTGTTATGGCTCCTGTGATGAGTGCATCCAGTGGGAGGTGGAGAGGCATCCACCAAATTCAGACAGTGCTTCTCATAAATGTATGTTGTCTCTTCACTTTTAAAGCAAATATAATTCTTTGGCATATCTCTGGATTCTGCAGAGAATTCTGATTCTCTGTGGCTCAATTTGAACTGAAACAGTAAGGTAAGTCATTTTATGCCTGATCTTCACCAACAGATCAGCACTGTCAGTATTCATGGCAGAAGAGAAAAGAATGGCTGTCAGTTTCCAAATCCCTGTTACTCCATATTGGTAGGAGTTACTTCTTTGGAGCTTATGGTTGAGTTTTCACTGAGCAGCAGATTGAAACCAATGCAGGAACAGCAGTACTACCAGTATTCATTGTAGAAAGATACCTTACCCAGTTAGGAAAACCTTCCCTCTGTCCTCCCTGAAGCAGCCTTCCTCTTATTTTAGAATGCAGTAGAAACATTTTGTTATTAATTCCATTTTACCAAATGAACTTCTCTTAAAGCTTAATTAAAACTGTGGAAACTGAATTATACCAGTGTAGTGTTGTAAACACAGCAGCATCAGGAGTTGTGTGTGAGTAGCTGGTTATAGACTTGAAAATATCTAACTCCATTGTTATTTTTTAAGAATATTTGAGGAATTTGCACTTTGGATTTGGTACAGCTCTGTCTACATGACAATGGCCACATAATGATGTAATTTCTAATTCTGTAGCCTCTTATACTCGTTTTATCCTCAGAACTGATATTCCTAAATTGGGAGCAATTATCTTGCTGGCTGAGAGACCTGAGAAAACAAGGAAGGAAATGGGTTGTTACATTGTCAAATGCCAGTATTCATTGTTAATGCTCCCCATGTTCTGATGTCAGGTGTTTGCACAGCTCTCTCCCATGCCTTACACTGTGTCAACATAGCACAGGAGGATGACTGGAACTGCTGAGTGTGATTAAAAGGTCGTGTCTGAATTATGGCAAAAATCCAATAGGCCATCCATAGTAAAGCTGAGGAATTCTTAATGGTCAATTAAAATACGTATTTTATCCCACAGTCACAGGTGGAATGAACAGGAGAGAGAGCACATTAAATTCAGACAGCTGCAGAATGGCCATCGTGCAGCTCTGGATGTCAGCAGGATCACGAGCAGAGCTTTAATTCAAGTGTGTTTTCATACCCCAGACTCGTAGTTCCTGCATTATCTGCATCACTAAGAATGCAGTTTTTCGGGTACAGGACTAGCGTTTATTTTTTTATGATCATGAAATTACACTTAGAACATTATTTATACACCTTGTTCATAATTAACTGTCAAACTTTGGAGCTCTGTTGCTAGAGCTTAATATTTAAAACAGATTGCACAGATGGGGTGTTTGTATCTACATTGTTACTCACCCAAACGAAACGCTGAGTGTTAAGCCTACTAAGCCTTTCCTGGCAATCACAAAACTGACAAAATTTGGAGATCATAAATGCTGTGGCCAAAAAATGTGCCATCTGCCGGCCAAGGAGGAAAGTACGTGAGGCACCGTGGCCCCTGGGCAGAGTGCGCCAGCGTGATTCCTGCAGTAGGAGAAGCTGGGAGCTTTGCAGAGCTCTCAGCAGCAGAGCTGAAACAGGGCTGGTCAGGAGTTTTCTGACAGCAGATTCTTCCATCCGAAAGTGCTGTTTTGTTGTAAATGAGAACATGTCAACAAGAAATTGAAATGTTCCGTTCTAAAAGTATCCAAACGTTCTGGTTCAAAATTTTTAGACTGGAATACTGATTTTTATTCCAGAATGATTTTTTTTTTAAAGTAATTATTTTTGTATGTTATAAAAGCAAATTGAAATTGTCATCTTTGTCTTAAACATTAATGAAACCTCACGTCATCACTATAGCACATGGTAAATGACCACTCAGTCTGTCTCTCTACTC